CTACCATCATGAGGGATTCGAGATAAAGAGATGAGAAGCCAGAAGGACGACGGGAGATTATCTTTCAGACGGGAGATGTGGGCGAGTTTTAGCCTAGCTCTAAGATAGAATTATTGATCGTCGTAGATCAAAGAAATAATGTGGTATAAATGTGATATATGGACTCTAAAGTTACTGTATCTAGAATTTAAGGCGGCATGCAAATAATGCTTTAATTTGCAACGAACTCTTGTTGAGTCAAGAAAGATGAAGCTAGTCAAAAAACCTAGGGGGCCTGCAAATTGAGCTTCTTACTAAAACTCTGAAGATTTATCTAGTAAGCTATTTTATCATAAATGTGAGCAACTGTTAGCCAGTCGAGTTCGTTGGCGATGAAGATTTGAGTAATATCCAAGCCAATCATTGAAATTGAGGGTGGCAATAATTCAGTGTATCATCAAATTCTATGATCCAAATGGGATGTTTTATGCTATTTTTTCTTTTTGCCCAAAAAATGCATATTCACATTACCGAAATTGGAATGAAAATAGCAATGAATTCCGTGTAATGGTAGTTTTTGAAAGAGGAAAGGTGTGACTGTGTGTGACAAATGAGTAAGCAAAATGGCGTTCTCTCTCATTAATTTGTCATTTTGTCTAAAGTGTTTAGATATGATCAAGTGACTCGAATCCATAGAACGTAACGCGAGTATAGTACCAAGAGTGTCATACTTTATTACAACATTATTTTCTAGTCCTGTAAAAAAAACATAGAAACTTGTAATATTGCATCAAAATTTATATTTACAGCTTGAAATTTATAGATCTAAAACTAAATTTGGTTGTATTCAAAGTTGGTCTTACCTACATACTTTTAAGTGAGCCAATAAATAAGTAACACGATGGATAAACAGCTCGATGGCATTGAATACTATTATGAAGAATAAGTTAAAATCTTATTCAACTTATGTTTTTCTATTACCTAGTATTGTAAATTAAGCCCCTACTTGGTTTGTCTAAAAAATTAATAAAAATCTAAATTAATTTTAACCATATTTTATCAAATTTTATAAAATCTAATAAAAATATGATTTTTAACAAAATCAAATAAGGACTAAATATGTTAAGTTAATCAAAGGACTTAACAAGAACATGATCAACACATGTTTGTCAGAACACAATCATATTGTATAACATTGATCATCGTAGTGGTAGATTCTATCATGTGAAACCGAAAAACTCAAGTGAGTCGGGCTGGGTTGATTTTTGTAATATTTTTCATATGGTTCGATTTGATTGTTCCTTAGAAGAATTAAGTCAGGTCAGGTGAGTTTGCGATTTTATTAAAGAAAATCAATCCGAAACAAGAAATATAAAAAAATTACTATAATTATAAACTCAATAAATTTTACAAATCACCAATACCTTTCTCTCATTATTGAGTTATGTTTATGGTTAGATTTTTCCTCACTTTTATATTTGAAGGGCGTCTAAATATTTTTCAAGGTCCAAATATTATAAGTTTTTAACAAATACATTTAAAACCTTTAAAAATTTGTAAGTTTTGACGTAATTTAAATGGTACAACATTAATTGGGCTCAAGTCCAACACAAACTGATCCTAGATTGATCGATTTGTGTTGGTTCAATTTTACACCCAATTTTGGGTTGGTTTGGGTTAAGATTGATCGATTTGTGTTGATTCAATTTTACACCCAATTTTGGGTTGGTTTGGGTTGAAAAGTATTCAACTTCAATTGTTTAGTTTGATTTTGGGTTGAACATTATTTAACTTGAATTTGTCAGATCGGCTTCGGGTTAGTTTGAAAATTAACCCAAGCTAACCCTTCATAGGTCATAAATATTTAGTTATTATAGTGATATATTGATTTTAAAGTCATGGTATCTCGAATTTATGGTTGCATGTAAGTAATTTCTTAATTTGCAATAATCTCATAATTGGTCAAGTACGTCGAAGCTAGTTAGGTAACTTAAAGGGCTTACTAATTGAGCTTCTTGCATATATTTTGAAGGTTGGTCGTACATGTGAAGCAACTACTACACCTCTCATACATACAAGCTTGTTGGCGAGAAGGACTTAAGTAATATCCAAGCTCGAGAATTGGAAATCACGGTGACAATTATTCAATTTCTCGTCAAAGTCTGTTCCCAGCAGCAATGCATTCCCTTTAGGCTCAAGGGGCCCTCAATGTTGTGCAATCTTTCTTGTCATGCTTGACAAGAGACTTCAAGGCTTGATAGTGATGTCACATAGTAATATAACTTGGACTATCATGTGAAATAGAAGTGATGGAAGAAAGTTCATGAGTGTGTTTTAGGCTTTACCACTAGTATTTTTACTAATATGTGAAATAAAAGTGATAAAATGAGGTGTATATTATTCAAAATTTAAACTAAGAAAGATTCATGTAATTTTCTAAAAGGAGTTGGTGTTTTTGAAATTGTCAGAAAATTCGAGAGAAGTCTATGTAATTTTTCCTTTTAAATTTAAAGGTCTAAAACTAAACTTTGTTTTATGCAAAGTTTCACTTATTTACTAACTTTTAAGTGAGTCTAAGGAATAAGCACCGGCATGCTCAACAAGACTAGGCAATATAAATGGTACTGTAAACAAAAAAAAAAAATCCAAATCCAGTTATTGTCTAATATTGCACATTAACTTGTATATTATATAGAACACACTCATGTTGGTTGTCTTGTGCGAACAACCATCCCGATGCTTTAATTACTGAAAGGCATTAATAGGATCAAAAATAATTTGTATATATTATATAGAACACACTCATGTTCTATGGATTGAGAATCATTGATTGTCGTAGATCAAAAAAATAATGTGATAGGCTTTTAGATCCCTGGAACCAAGACACTGAATTGGGGGTAACACAATTTTTCACAAGAAACCCAGTGCATTTTTCCGCTTTTACCTTCTTTCCCCCACCAGAAATTAGACACGAGAGAGAGAGAGAGTCCTACCATCATGAGGGATTCGAGATAAAGGGATATGGCAAGCTAGAAGGACGACGCGAGATGATCATTGAGATAGAAGATGTGGATGAGTTTTAGCCTAGCTCCAAGAGAGAATCATCGATCGTAATGGATCAAAGAAATAATGTGATATATGGACTCTAAAGTTACGGTATTTTGAATTTAAGATAGCATGCAAATAATGCTTTAATTTGCAATGATCTCTTGTTGAGTCAAGAAAGATGAAGCTAGTTAGGAAACCTAGGGGGCCTGCAAATCGAGCTTCTTGCTAAAACTATAAAGATTGGTCTAGTAAGCAATTTTATCATAAATGTGAGCAACTGTAAGCCAGTTAAGTTCATTGGCGATGAAGATTTTAGTAATATCCAAGCCAAGCATTGAAATTTAGGGTGGCAATAATTAAGTTTATCTTCAAATTCTATTATCCAAATAAGATGTTTTATACTACTTTTTCTTTTTGGCTAAAAAAATGCATATTCACATTACAGAAATTGGAATGAAAATAGCAATGAATTTAGTGTAACTTAGGCCACTAACATGTTTTTACGTCTTGTATAACTTAGGCCATTAACATAGCGAGAGTGGCCCGAGCACAATCTAAACTAACCCAAGATTGATCAATTTGGGTTGGTTATATTTTACACCCAATTTTGAGTTCGTTTGAGTAAAAAATATTCAAGTTGAATAGATTAATTCTGCTTTGGGTTGGTTTAAAAACCAATACAATACAATCCAACCCAACCCAACCCAACCCAACACAACCTACAACCATCCCTATCATAAATCATAAAAATTTAGTTATTTGATATAAGAAGGTGTTAACAATTCTCTACGATGGTCTGTTACTTAATGTACACCCCCAGGACGTCGACCCCCTGAGGCCCTCTACGCTCACATAGGCCGTCTACCATTACGAGGTCATCGACCCCCACTATACTTAGCCAAATAAATGGCCATGAGATAGACAAGAATCACCCAACATCAAACTCGGCCATGACCAACCGCTATGCGAGTGGGTGTTAACGCTACAGAACGTGGGGGAAACAACAAACGTGGGCATAACCAACCGCTAGACGAGTGGGGGTTGACGCTATAGAACTTGGGGGGAGTGGGAAGGCACACGTGGGATACGTGGCATAATTGATCATAGAACATGGACGTGCCATCAGGTGCCTATAAATACCCCAATGTGGGAAAGGTTTTTTCTTCTTGAAACCTGAACTATTTTGAATTCCAATACATTCTCTTTCTATTATCATAAACCGTATACTAATTATCACAGCGGAGGTACAACAGGAGGAGGAAGCCCCGACCTCATTTTAAAGGTAGCACCATCCACATCAGGAGGACATGGAATTCACCTCACTAATATTTCATTGGTGCTGTCTGTGGGAATCCACTGAACAAAAAAGCTATGTCAAGAAGATGGACAAGAAGTGAAACACCCATGGTCGAGAACACGGCAGACGCGGAGTCGGAGTCTGTTGCAAGGGGTCATGACTTGCCACCACCAGCGCAGTACATAAAACAAGGCCAATTTAATACCTTGGAGACACAGTTGGCAGCCATGATGACCCTCTTGCAGAGCCAGACGTAAAAAATCGTAGCCCCACCACAAAACTCGTCGGAAGCAGTACATGAGCAACCACCCCAGGTGGTACAAACGGTTACCCCGTCCACTACACAGCCAACAACATGAGACACAGTTTGTAGGCATGATGACCCTCTTGCAGAGCCAGACGTAAAAAACTGTAGCCCCACCACAAAACTCGTCGGAAGCAGTACATGAGCAACCACCCCAGGTGGCACAAACGGTTACCCCGTCCACTACACAGCCAACAACAGGAGACATGGGGACCTCAGGTTTTGTGTTTCCATAGATTTCCCAACCCATGGCAGACATGAAAAAGAAGATAGAGGAAATGATAACTCAAAAGATAGACAATGCATTGACAAGGAGGAAGGATAGGTGTAGGCAAACTATTCTGGAGGAGGATCTTTTTTTCCCCTGAGATTATGCTCGTACCTTTGCCAAACGGCTTTAAACAGCCAATGATAGAAGCATATGACAGAGTCACGGCCCCCCTGGATCACCTGGGAACCTTTGTTGACTTAATGAGACTTTATGCAGTCCTAGACATAGTGATGTGTAGGTCATTTTCCCCGACACTCAGGAGGGAGGCTAGAGACTGGGTGGCCACATTGGCACCTAGGTCTATAAAGACGTTTGATGAACTTTCCAGGAGTTTTGTGGCATATTTCATGAGCAGAAAGTTGACACAAAAGATGACCATTGAATTGATGCAGGTGGTGCAAAAGAAAGATGAATCTCTTCATGAGTATTTGGCTAGGTTCAGCCAGGAAACTCTTGGTGTAAGGGACCTTCAAATGTCTGCAGTAGTAACAATGTTAATGAATGGGACGCAGAACCGGGCTTTTAAAATGTCACTCTCCAAAAATCCACCGGAGTCGATGCATGACCTATTGAAGAAGGGTGACAAGTATGTTGATACAGAGGAAGCAGAAAATGTCACAAAAAATCTTAGAGAGGGATGGGAGACGGGAAGCCATAAGCGAAAATTAAGTGATGTGAAAAACCTGTTGATAAGGATAAGATGAGGAATGAGTGCGCGTAAGCAGGGGTTACCCTCAAGATCGATCGGTCAAACAAAGACGGGAGGAGGTCAAAGCCTTTACCCTTTTGAATACTCTGTGGACAAGAAATTGATGAAAATTCGAGGCATGAAAGAACTCAAATGGTCGAGGCTGATGGAGGCATTAGTCAGCAAACGAGATAAGAGTAAGTATTGTCATTTCCATAAGGACCATGGACATGAAACCGAAGAGTGCATACATTTGAAAGAGGAAATTGAACGCCTATTAAAGCAGGGTTTTTGACTAAATACGCGAGAAATGATCGAGGTAAGCAAAAAGTTGATGATCGGCCACCGCCCAGGGTTGGTATCATAAATGTGATTATTGGAAGGATCACTTCAGGGGGAGACTCGAATTCGGCCAGAAAGACCTACGCACACACGGTCGGGGTTTGCTCCATTCAGAAATAGGCCAAGTTTAATCAAAGTATCACTTTTGATGAGGAAGATTTAGTAGGAGTGGCGGTCCCCATGATAATGTCTTGGTGATAGTGGCGACATAGCAGACTACGATGTCAAAAGGGTGTTAGTCGATGGTAGTAGTGCCGCGAACGTTCTCACTTGGGAAGCTTTCATGGAGTTAAAAATCTCCTCTAAAAAGTTGAAAGTAGTGTCCATCCCCCTCCTGGGATTTGAAAGGGCTACCGTGATATCGGAGGAAGTTGTGAAATACTGATGACATTGGGTACCTATCCTGCGATGGTGGTGATCTTGACAAACTTCTTGGTTGTCAAGACCCCCATGGTGTATAATACAATCTACAGTCGACCCCTACTGAATGCTGTTGGGGCAATTCCATCTACCTACCACCAAGTGACGAAATTCCCAACCAGTCGTAGTATGGGAAATGTGAGGGGTGATCAGCAGTCTTCGAGGAAGTGTTACATTGACAGTATATGGACGAAAGAACCACCACCAGTGATGATGCTGGATCTTAAGCCTCCAAGGGGACGGATTGAGCCCCTCAATACTACGAAAAAAATTTTAATGGCTGAAGGGCATGAATTCGGCATAGGGGAAGACCGGTACAAAGAGAAAGAGAAGAATTGGTGAAGTGTCTATCTAGCAACTTAGACATTTTTGCATGGTGCTCGAGCGATATCCAAGGGATTGATCCTTCTGTTTCACAACATCATCTTGGTGTTTTACTGGGAGCTAAACTAATAAAACAGAAGAAAAGAAACCTTACCCTAGAACGACAGGCTGTGGTGAAAGATGAGGTTGATAAGCTAATGCAGGTAGGGTTCATTAGAGAGGTACATTATCCCCAAATGGTTAGCAAACGTTGTCCTGGGAAGAAGTTGAATGGGAAATGGCACATGTGTGTAGATTATACCGGACTAAACAAGGTATGTCCGAAAGACTCGTACTCTCTACCCAGAATAGATCACTTGGTGGATGCCACATCAGGTCATGATCGACTGAGTTTTCTGGATGCATTTTCTGGGTACCATCGCAGTACTAGTGAAAGAATATCCAAAGATGCAGAAGCCAGTTTACTACGTTAGCCATGTGTTGAGAGGCACAGAAACTCGATATAGCCTCGTAGAGCATCTGGTATTCACGCTAATTGTAGCAGTTAGAAAATTAAGGCTGTACTTCCAATCCCATATTGTACAAGTTACGACCGATTAACCTGTCAAGCAAATTTTGCATCGCCCTGAGACCTCGGGTAGGATATTAAAATGGGCAATCGAGCTGAGTGAGTTCGAAATTAAGTTTAGGCCAAGAACGGCCATCAAGGCATAAATGTTGGCAGACTTTATTGCATAGCTAACAACTCAACCTGACTACCCCCTACAAGCAGAAGTAGTTTGGAAAATTTTTGTAGATGGATCTTCGCATGGCGAAGGGTCCGGAGCAGGCATCATTATGATAGGACCTGAATCTGAAGAGTTGGAGTATTCGTTACGCTTTGAGTTCCCAGCAACAAATAATGACACTGAGTATGAGGCAGTCATCATAGGTTTGAGTTTAGCAGCTCGACTTGGAATAACATCAGTTGACAAATGAAGTGACTCCCAGTTAATTGTTGGACAAGTGACAGGTGAATTCGAGGCAAGGGATGGGAAGATGGCATCCTATCCGATGAAGGTTAGGCACTTGCAAAGGGTATTTACAAGTTGCAAGATAACCAAGGTCCCTCGCAGATAAAATGAGTGGGCAGACGCCATATCTAAGCTGGGATCGGTAAATCCGAGAAATCTACCTAGCACGGCGAATGTACAGGTCTTTCGACAGCCTAGCATATTGCTCATAGAGGGCACGGGGAATCCAGAACAGGAAAAAAGTTGGTTAGACCCATTGGTAGACTACTGAAAGGAGAATAAATTTCCAAATGATGCACAAGAGGCTAGGAGGCTGAAAATAAGGGCAGCATCATTAACCATGATCGACGGGGAGCTATACAAGCGAGGATTTACCATGCCATACCTGAAGTACTTACGTCTAACTGAGGCTCATAAAGTTTTACTCGAAATACACTCCGGGATTTGTGGTAATCACCAAGGAGCAACCACCTTTGCCTTCAAAGCTCTGCGACATGGATACTACTAGCCCACGATGAAGTAGGATGCTAAGGAATTTGTGAGAAAGTGCGATGCATGTCAGCGTCATTGAAATTTAATCCATGTACCCGCTGAGCAACAGTCAGCCATTTTTGGAGTATACCCTTTCTTTCAGTGGGGGATGGATATTTTAAGGCCTTTACCTATAGCCAGGGGGCAGAGAAAATTCTTGCTGGTAGTAATTGATTACTTCACAAAGTGGGTCGAAGTAAAGCCATTGGCTACCATTACGACAGCAAAAGTACTAAGCTTCATGTGGAAAATATAATATGTAGATTTAGCATACCAAGAGTCCTCATCACCTACAATGGCAAACAGTTTGACAACCATGGCTTTAAGGCTTTTTGCTCTAGTTATCTCATAGATCACAGGCTCACGTCCGTAGCACACCCCCAAGAAAATGGGTAGGCAGAGGTAACGAATCGAGCGATATTGTGGGATCTCAAGACAAGATTGGAGAAGGAAAAGGGGCTTTGGGTAGACGAATTACCTAATGTTTTGTGGGCGTATCACCCGACCCCACGAGAAACCATCAGAGAAACCCCATTCAAGTTATCCTTCGGGATGGAGGCCATTGTCCCGGAGAAGTCCTGAACGAGACTGGCAGAATGAAAGTTAAACAGCTTGATGTCTAGACCACCAGCGTGGAACTCGATCTACTAGATGGGGTGAGAGAGAAAGTAGCTATGAGTATGATAGCATATAAGCGGAGAGCTGCTGGGTATTTCAATTGTAGGATGAAACCAAGAGCTTTTCAGTCAGGAGATCTCGTACTGAGAGAAGTAGCAGCAGCTGGCCACCCACCGTCTAAGCTCGAGTCGAATTGGAAAGGACCATATGAAGTCATCTGAAGCCTTGGAAAGGGAGCTTACAGCTTAAAGGACTTGAGGGGAAAACCACTAGGCAGGCCGTGGAACTCCGAGTATCTCAAGAAATATTATAAGTAGATCGTTAGGGGTTTTTTCTTTTTAATTTTCGTTGCTGATGTAATGGTCTATTGTAAATATAGTAGCTAGAATTCTCATGATGTAATGCCTGCTACAGGTTGATTAAGAATTGTTTAATAAATTGACTAGCTCAAAATCGCTAAGGGCTAGTGGTAAGTTTTCAAAATCGAAAATGGTAAAGGCTCAAAATCACATGATCCTGCCCTCGATGATCCTACATAGCTCGACATATAACAGTGAGCAAAAAAGTCAAGAAATTGACTAGCTCAAAATTGCTAAGGGCTGGTGGTGAGTTTTCAAAATCGAAAACGATTAAAGCTTAAAATTAGCTAACCCTATTCGACGATCCTACATAGGTCTACGCATAGCGGTGAGAAAAATAGTCAAGAAATTGGCTACCAATGCATAGTGGTGAGCAAAATAGTCAAAAAATTGACTAGCTCAAAATCGCTAGGGGCTGGTGGTGAGTTTTCAAAATCGAAAATGGTAGAGGCTCAAAATCAGCGGACCCGGCACCCAATACCGCTCGGCATATAGCTGTGAGCAAAAAAAGAGGGGGAAGGGAGCAAAACTAAAATGATGTTCAAAAAGTAAGCGCTCATACTCAAAATATAATAAGAGTGTGCCTACATCCCAGACCAGGAGAAATCACTAAACAACTCGACGATAAAAATAACATAACAATATAAAGTTCTAAGAGGCCCTACAACAATAGGTCAAGTCAACTCGAATGTAAACTCCCATCACTCTTACCTTGGGATGTATGCCCAGATGTCTTGGACTAAAGAGCTCCACCTTCCTTGCCTTTGCACTGAGCTAGAAACCTATCAAAGCCTAATGGATCAATGGTAGGATGCTCAGCAGATATCCACTACTTGGTTAGTTTGATGGACACCGCCATCACCTTCATCCCATAAGAATGGAAAGCCTTAGCAAAATCAGAAGATAACTTGTACCACTCCACAAATGCCTCCAGATCCTTGGCATACTCCGCAGAGGCTCTATATCTCTCCACCGCCTCTTCGGGAGCACAAGCCAAAATAGAACGTAGCTTGTTTATTTCAGTCTCCTATTCCATGGCGCGGGCCTCCGAGTATTCGAGGGACTTTCTCAATGAGGAAATTTCCTTCTCATATTGGTGACATTCTTTCTTATTCTCATCTGCGAGGGTTATCTTTTCCTATTTAAGGGCCTTCTTCTCTCGCTCTAGGGTTTTCAACTCGGACATTAAGCGACGGCTCGACTCGACAAGCCCGGTTTGAAGAGCCACCACCTGAAAAAGACGAGAGATCAAGCAACAATAGAGCATGTAAAATAAAAAACTTACCCTCTGAGTATGGACCGCCGAACCCTCTCGATGTCATCAGCAATCTGACAGGAAGTAGACTGGATACACCAAAGCAGAACCAAGGTTTTGACTGCCCTCATCTTTAAATAGCCCCGAGAATAGGAAAATTTGAAATCTGGAAGAGGAAAACCCTTACGCTCGGGCACGATACTACTCAGACTGCCACATACACCCTTGGAGGGCGGAATGACCTCGACGGGGTCATATGAAAGTTGTGGGACCTCCTTGATGGTATGACGCAGCGTCCCCCATCGTTGGTCTTCTTCCTCTTTAGTGGAACGGAAAGAAGATCATCGTCGCTCCCATCGCTGCACTCTGCCAAGGAATCTATGGCCTCTCCTAAGTTGAAATCCATCCATGTACATACAAGATAGAGTCTATCAAGCTGACAAAAATAAGGAGTCAAAAAGTACCCTAAAAGTAAAATGAAAGCAAACCTTGCCAATACTTACCATCAATAGGGGCAAATCCCTCATCGCTCCCCGGCTCGTGTAGGGACTTCAACACCTCGTCCAAGTTAAAGTCCATGTCTATATGCAAATGGTCAAGTTAATCAGGTTCGTCAAGTTAATCAGGTTCAATAGACAAAAGACAAGCAGGATGTACTCACAAGCATAAAAAATACAAGCAGTATATAAAGACCTACCAGCAGGACCACCAATCCCGACTAGCAACATATTCCTCAACGTCAGAGCTAACCCTAGGTTGGCTGTAAGGGGTGGAATCTCGATCAATTTTTGGATTTGACCTCTCAGACAGAGGGTGACCTCAACGTTACTATTGAAAAGGCATATTAAGGGATGTCTCCAATAGGTGTTAAAAGAAAATTAACCCTCATGGAGCGAGCAAAGAAAAATAGGGATTTCCACCTGCTGTTTGAATTCCTGAACTTAGGAAAACAAAACGGGACCCTAGTGGTAAAATAGACGAAAACATTAAACTGGGCCAACTCATGCATTTCAAAGATGCATCTGAAGAGGTCCATTGAGAGATGAATTTGCCTACTAAGGTAGACGTATAAGAAATAAAGCGCTTTCCTCCACACGTTGGGATTAATTTGACTTGGGGAGAGGTGAAACTTGTTGAACAATGAGACGAAGAAGGGATGGATGGGAAATCGAAAACCACCATCTATAATGTCTTTATAAATGGTGACCTCCTGAGGATCGATTCCTAGAAGCGTTTCGTCGGGCCTAGGGGCTCTATAGACATAGTGATCCATCAGCGTATATTTTTTGAGTGACTTTTACAATTTGGATGGAGAGTTGTATAAGCTATAACATTGGGAAATGTCAAGAATCACTTCCATCCCCACGGTATCACACTCTATCTCAATATTTTGGCTTAAAGATTTAGTTGACTTAATATTGCATTTTTGGGAAATTGAGTGAAAGACTTGAAATGCGGCCAAATGTGTTGAAATATTTGACTCGGAAAGGATTTGGCCAACCCTGCAAGGGGGATCTTCGATGAGAGCCACTCCGTGACTAGCCGTGGGGAGGTCAACCCCCGACCAGCCTCATGACTGGTCGGGGGTCGACCAGCAGCACTGGTCGATTGTCAACCAGCAAGGGCTGGTCGACCCGAGAACCACTCTACCGACCCATCCAAAGGTACGTCGACCGACTCTCTCGGTCCCTCGTCCTCACTCTCACCGGAAGATGAATATATAATGGTTTTATATATGATTAAAAATAAGAGATGAATAAAGAGGGAGGAGATGAGGTTGGCTTGAAAGAGAAGGAAGGAGTTGAAGATTTTGATAAAGTAGAAAATGGAGTAGATGGGAGCCACTACAACTCTTTAAATAGTGGTGAAATTTTTGAATTTTTTTGGGGGAAATTTCCCTCCAAAAGTGAAAACCAATTATGGAATGCCACATGCAATGTAAAAAATGATGTAGGACAATTGGCGTTAGAGTTTGAAGAAGAATTTGACCGAAAATAGGCTAAAAGAGTTGTTCCAAAGAAATAGTCATAACTTTTTGCATCGGTGTCATATTTTCTATTATAATATGTTTTCGGAAACGTCTCTTAGAGCTATATATCGTCCCAATTGGGTTACCTTGGTTGAGGTCATTCCCAGCCACAACTTTGCAATTTAAGGCTTTCTACTAGGCAGTTGAAGTTTTAGCGTCATTTTTGTTTTTCC